CTGAGCCTGGAAACAGCTCCCAGCCTGTGGCCAAACCTACATACAGAGAAAGGCAGAAGATGAGGACACCATCTCAGGATGGGCAGAGGTTCTTTCCTAGAGGAAATATGGCCATGGGCAGTGGGAGTCTGCCAGCCAGCTCTTTACCCAAGAGCAGGTCTTGGCAGATGGGAGTGGCCATGGGGACAGGAGGTAGCCGCAGGAGGTCTGGGTCCTCGTCATGCTTTGTTGGACACATTCATCCCCTGCCTTTCTCCACTCAGCACCTTGGGGGCAAATTTCATGCCTCAGAGCTCCTTGCCCACTGGCTTCTGACTAGAATTACTCCACACAAGTGCTAGAGGAAGATGGGAGCAGGAAGGTGATGATCCGGCATCTCTGATGATAACTGCTCTCTTTGTGGCAGCCCCAAGAACCGAACCCTCGCACCTTCTCCCCTCTGTAGCCTGAGGGTTAGAGGTGGTGTTCACAGCTGTTCACAGCTGTTCACAGCCTGTCTGCCCACTCCCTTCAGCCCTTCACTTCCTTTTAACTTGGCAACCATTTCTGTCATTGAACCTGGCACTGGTGCCCTACCCAGACCTTGCCTGGCCCAGATTGGAAGGAGAGAGTCACGGGAGTTGCTTCCTACCCCTGCTGGATCTGGGCAGAACCTCACAGGGCAAAGCGCTAGGTAAACACCACATGTGAGGGTTACTAGGACCTCATTCTGTAACGAGGCCACCACAGTACCCCATGGATGCCAACTCAGGTGGTCATGCTGCTGGCTGCCAGACCCCACTGTGTTCCACACATGAGTCTTGGCATTAGGAGAGTCTGGGGTGCCTTCCTGTTCATTGGGTTTTACTGCTTCTCACATTCCCCTAGCCTTAGTAAGAATCCCAGCAGGGCCACTTCATATCTGTGACTTCAGAAAACAACACAGCCTCTTGGTACTTCAGTGTCTTCATCAAACTGTGGAGAAGATCTCTCATTGCCTGGTATGAAATAAATAGTCAGTCAATGGGACCAGCCACCACTGTTGATGATGATGATGATGTTGATGATGATGATGATGTTGATGATGATGATGATGATGATGACGACAACAGCCTGGGCAGCAGGAGAGACATCAGTAGCCTACCTATGAGAATATTCAGGAAGCAGGAACAAGGGAGAAAAGGGAGCCCAATATGTGGCTATCGAGGTTGGAAGTGCAAAGATTTGGGGTCTGTGCATCTATGTCCACATGCTGGCACCCCAAGGACTGGCACCATTTTCCTGGGATCTCAGTCTCGGCAATACTTCTCCCTCCACCATCCTCTCTCTCTTGTTGCTCACCAGCTGCTGCCACATTCCCATCAGGGGACTGCTCAGCAACCGGGGAAGGGGACAGAGGCTACGAGGCTCCTCTGCCACTGGAGACTGAGGACTGGATCTAAGGCAGGAGGGAGGCTGAGGGGAGACACAAGTGCCCTTACCTCACATTGCTGGTCTCCTGGTGAGTGCAAAGTCCACAGTCACTTCTGGCATATTATCGTCTTTAACCCTCCAGTCACGGGACAAGACATGATCCTTTGCTCTCATTGTTACTAGCAGCATCCCAGTTTTATTATTAATATTATTATCATTATTAATTAATTTATTTTTGGTTTTTTGAGACAGGGTTTCTGTGTAACCATACTGGCTGTCCTGGAACTCACTTTACAGACCAGGCTGGCCTCGAACTCACAGAGATCCACCTGCCTCGGCCTCCCCCACCACCCAGCACATCCCAGTTTTATAAAGGTATCAAGCTTTGGGGATGTTAAGGAACCTGCCTAAGATCACACAGCCTGAAGGTGGCAGAGACAGAATTCTAACCAATCTAGTATGATAAAAGATGCAAGCAAGCCGGGCAGTGGTGGCGCACGCCTTTAATCCCAGCACTCCTGAGGCAGAGGTGGATAGATATCTGAGCTCGAGGCCAGCCTGGTCTGCAGAGTAGGTTCCAGGACAGCCAGGGCTGCCTTGAAAAACAAAAACAAACAAACAAACAAAAAAATGCAGGCTACCCAGGGAACTTATTGTGACTCTCTGCCTGTGGCTCTGCACAGGAGCTCCATGGGTGCCGACATTTGAGGCAAGGAGTGAGATCTGCCTCAGCAAGGCCTGGTCTTTCTCTGGGATGCGCGCCAGATATTAGAAGGGCTGAGGACTTGGCAGGGCTGGTGGACCCAGTACTGGGTCTGCTACTCTCACTCCTTCTCAGTCCTGCAGAAATATTTTCCTGGAGAGCGGGCTGTGGACCCTGAAAGTCTTGTTTGCTGCAAACTCGGGAAAGGACAGACACCCTCGAATGTCTCATCCCCAGACATCCACCTCCTGGAACGCCATCTCCACATGTCCCCAGCCTTGCTGCAGGCTCAGTCTCTCTCGTGACAGCACCACAGGATGCCACCATCTGCTGTGATATCAGGAGTCCCAGCCTCAGAGTCAGTATCAATCTCAACCTGGATGACTGGAGCCAGAAGGCCATGGACAAGTGCCTTCATTTGCTCTTCTGAGGCTCTGGGTCCTCATCCAGTGGCCTTCCTATGGGCAGGTGTCTGATAGAGGTGACAGAGTCCACCTCTTCCTCTTTTAAACTTCATCCTTCTGGGTCCTCACAGCCTTCCCTGACCATCTGACCACCTTTGGAGGTGGGGGTGCTCTTTCCCAGAATCCTCCCCACACTGTGGTCTCTGGGCCTGCAGGAGACAGTGGTTTCACCATCCTCTGCTTGTGGCCTGCCCAGGACCAGCTCCCCCGAGAGCAAAGGGCTCAGCGCCGGAGGCACAGGCCCCACCCTGTGTGTAAACACTAGTTGGGCACCGGCTGACCTCAGGAGGGAAGTACTGGCTGCTCCTGGCCTCTCCCAGCCTGCCACTGAGGTTCCAAAGGAAGTGCCAGCCTAAACTGGCGCCCTGGCCCCAGGCTGCCTCCATCCTGGAAATAGTCACCAAGAGCCAAGCCTCTAGCTAAAGGTGGACGGAAGTTAAAAATTCCTAATCATGGCTTTGCCGGGCCTGGTAGGAGCACCCATGCTGGAGTGTCCCCATGAGTCAGGTCTCTCTAATTGAAATAGTTTCCATGATCATACTGTACCTTTATAAATGGACTCTGCTTATTTCTTTAAAATACAAACTGTAATTACATATAATAAAATATTAGTAATTTTAATGTTGGAGGGAGAAAAATATGTGCTTTATTATTGTTTGCAAAGTGCTTTTCTGTACTGTTAAAATTTCTTTGAGTAAAAATGTTTCCAAGCAAAGAAGGGAAGGGTCTGGAAGTGTAGGTGAGGAGATGAAGCACAGATCTAGGACAAGTGAGAGTTTGAGTTCCTCCACACGAAGGTAAAATAGAATAAGACGAGCATGGTTTCTTTGGGGGTAGGAGTCACGAAAATTGAAGCATAGAATGGGAAATATAAGGCATTTGGCTCCTCTCCTCTAGAACCAGACCATTAGTGTATTAACATATTTCCCCTCGTGTATATTTATGCCATGTTATTCTTTTTATGTAAGGGAAGAAACCATGGAGCTGGAGGGATGTCTAGCAGTTAAAAGCATGCAGGGTTCTTGCAAAGGATCTGAGTTTGGTTTCCAGCGTGCACATTTGGCCCACAACCACTTGTAACTCCAGTTCCAGGACCTAATGCCCTCTTCTGACCTCTTTGGGCTCCTGCATGAACATGGTGCACATAACTCTCACAGGCACACATACACACACACACAAACACAAAACAAGTGAATAAACTCTAAAAAGGATTCATGATTGCAAAGCCATTTCCCACATTTTCAACAGTTTCTTTTGTTCTTGTTTATACAAATATACATCTTCTAAGGGATTTTTCCTGGTGTAATCATAAGGTTCTGATTCTATTATAAAAAATAAAAAAATAAAAACAAAAAATCCAGGGTCTCACCCCATAGTCCAGACTGATCTCAAACTCAGCTCTCCTGCATTGTCTTCCCAAGGCCTGGAGTAACTTACAAATTGCTTTTTAATGCTTTTTTTTGAAAAGGGCATTGCATGGTCACCCATGGGTAGGTGTGCATGTATGGTAGTATAAGGGCACATGTGTGAGCACACGTGTATGGAAGCAGAAAATCAGACTCGGGTGTCACTCTTCAGGTGCGTTCCACATTATTTTTCGGAGACAGAGTTTCTCACTAGAATCTGTGGCTTGTCAATCAGACTGAGGTCGACCAGCAAGCCCCAGGGATTGAGCTGACTCTGCCTTCCCAGTGCGGGGATTGCAAGCATGTGCCACTGCCTCTGGCTTCTTATGTGGGAGACAGGAATGAACTCAGGTCCTCACCTTGGTTGACAAGCATCTCACCAGTTGAACCGCCCTACTGATAAGATATTTTTATGACTGAGATTCAGGTGGATCATAGTAAAATCACAACAC